GGGGTTGAATCTTGTGGGGGCTGATTTGAACTTAGAAGGGACCCGTGTTTCTCAAGGAATCGGATAGTTGGAATGAAGCCGGAAGCAAGGACAGCTCCTACTTGTATAACTTGCTTATTTTGACAGAGCCCACAAAGCAATTGGGGGTATATGCTCTGGTATAAATCTGGGCAGATAATGGTCTTAAGTAGTTGCCTACACTGTTCTTGGGCTGAATGGTCCTACTGTCTGGGTCAACTGGGAGTTTTCTATGTAAAACAAATGACAATTAAAAAGTAGAATTCAGAACTATCATTATATGGTTGTATTAGTTCTTTTATATGAGATGCTTTGTTGAAATAATATTTGAAAAAAGAACACATGATTATTTATTTTAAGTTTTTATATAACTTTTAAAACTTGGGTATTTATAATTACAAGTTTCTTATTAAAAAATTATTATTTTTTTAATATAACAAATAACAATATTGCAATTCCAGCCCCTGCGAATCAGGCCCCTCCGCTGGTCGTTTGTTAAAAAACAGGGACTGAGAATCCCTGAAATCAACATCGTTAATTTCATCTTAGGCAGCCAAAAACGCGGGAACTAACCTGGAAGAATTACTCTCTAACATCACATCTGTCGTCCGATATTCATCTCTCGCCTGGTTTGTTCCAACCACTTCATTCCTTTTTATTTTGCACTTTGTTTCTTGGTTATTACGCAGTCACGCAACTTAATTGGATTCCGATTCGCGTGACTGCATGTGGAATTAGACTATGGGTTGAACATTCGGCCGTTGATTGCAGCAATGGTGAATGGGAAGAAGAAAGAAGAGGGAGTGAAAGAGACTGAGTTAAAAGAAAAAGGGGAAAAAGATTAAAGTTAAAGTTTTTTATCAGTTGGGTTTTATTTTGAAAATTTGAGGAATAGTGGAGAATAAATTCAATATTTTATTTTTTCTATTAGTACTTAATAAAGATGTTAATTGTCAAAAAAATGTAGGGGTATTTTAAGACAATATGTAAACAACAAGGGTAGAGTTAGTCAAATAGTTAAATCATAAGGATAACTTAAGAAATTTGCCACTCTTTTTTTTTTATATAAGTTCATAAAAAAAAAACTCGGACAATTCGCTCAGGCTCACACAGTTTAAGCAATTTTGAAAAAAAAAAGTTAAAAACTAAAGGAGCATTTTTGAGAATTGAACTCAAGACCTCTCGCACCTTGAGCGAGAATCATACCACTAGACCAAATGTCCTATCTAGGGGTGGACACGAGTCAAGCTTTTCACAAGCCACTCTAGTTCGGTTCAAATCGAGCTTCAAGTCGATTTCGAACTTTTATTATGTTTGTTTAATAATTGAGCCAAGCCTAAGCATTTTGAAATTCGGCTTGTTAGGCTCACGAGCCTTCAAGCTTATATTTGGGCCTAGTGCCACTTTGATCCCCGAATTTTAAAATGCGATAATTTAGTACTCAAATTTTTAAAATGTGACAATCTAGTATATTCCGTTAACTAGCTATTAACTGGCCGTTAAGTGGCATTTGAAAAAAACCACAAATGTTTTTTAAGTGTTATTAATTTTCTTTTTCAACCATCTAAATGTTGATAAAAAATTAAATTCCAAATCATTGCTTTTTTCATCTAATAAAGTTAGGGTCATGTTTGAGTGGGCATTCTGATGACCCCAACTTTCTTGAATAAAAGAGGCAAAGATTTGATATTATTAATTTTTTTGTCAATATTTAGATGATTGATAAAAAATATTAAATAATAATTGAAGAGAATTTGTGTCTTTTTCAAATGCGTAGTCGATTGTGATGTTTTGAAAGATCGGGTACCGAATTGTTTCATTTTAAAAGTCGGGACCAAAGCCTAAATTACAGGTTAGTAATAAAGAATTTTTTTTATATAACCTTTTCAATAAATTTTGTTGGTGAGAATATATTATACTCATGGTCCCTGATACACGGTGCCAATTGCAAGAGAAATGAAAAACCCTTACATACCTCACTTCAGTCTCCTCTGTCCTCTCCTCTCGAGCTCTCAGCCTCTCACCTCCTCTCGAGCTCTCAGTCTCTCACTCTCGCAGTTCAGACTCGCAGGCCGCAGCTTCTCTCAGTCACAGGAGTTCTAAGAACTCGCACACTCACAATTAGTCGGTCACTACGGACGTCGGAGGCGAGACAAAGACGAGGAACAGAACTTGTTCAAATCGTTTAAGAGGGACAGATGTAGGTTTGCTTTTTCTTCATCGTTTTCTTCTCATTCTGTTCCGGGTTCGGGGTTTTATTAGTTTTTACAGTTGGGACATAAACTTGAAAGACCATTTTGGGTTGAAATTCCTTTTTTTTTTTTCTGAGATTTCGAATTAGCAAATGTTCACAGAGGAAGTATATTCAGCCGATCCTTGTTTATTTTTTTTTTATAGCGATACTTTTCATTAATAGAGGAATTAGCAAACGTTCTTTTTCATTAACAGGAAGTATATTCAGCCGACACTTGTTTATTCCATTTTTTTTTCCGAACAAAATCTTGTGTCATATATGTTTAGCTCTTCTGCAAGCCAAAAAGAAATCATAAAGCATGTTTACTAATACATACAAATATTGATTTAAAAAATTGATGCTCTTTTTAGGACTTTTATTTTTTGGGTTTTCAAAGCTCAAAAGTAATAAGTGACATATGAAAGGCATAGACAAAGAATGCCTACAAACAGAACCATTATATACTTTTGGAAGTACGAAGAGAAAATATAATTTTTGTCTTAAAGCAATAGCTTATCAAAATGCATTCTTCTAATTACTAAAGCATTTCACCATCAGCCACACACTTGAGCTACACTATTATTATTATTTTTCCTTTGTTGGAGATAAAGTAAAGAATTCCACTAAGTATTAAGAAAGTATGACAACACATGTCCTCCAGCCACACTTAAAGTTGAATGGCAGATTGGCAGTATTTGATTTAATTCATTTTCTGATAAAAAAGCACTTCATTTATGAAACTATTATTTTGTTCCTTGGAATATGTCATTATAATACAAGAAAATAATTGTATTATGATGAATTATTTATGAAATGTCTATTTTCCTTTTATGTTTTGCTGAGGTACGTAGCAAAGTTGAATGCTGTTGACATCATCAAGCTTTATATACAAAACCCATTTAAAGTCACTTCCCAATCTGAATATCTAAAGAAAGAACTGGCTTCCTTCTTGGTCTTTCATGATTTCTAAATTGATTTTCTTTAATTTCAATTTGGTCATAAAAGTGCAATTTTTTTTTTTAACATTTAGGTTTTCTTTCTAGATTGGTGGTTTATTGGTTAGTTATTATTAAAGACTAAGACCGTGGTTTGACTCTCAGGTACTGAATCAGAAGATATTCATTTTTAACCCTAGTATTAAGAAAAGTACTGCCATTCAACATGCCTACTATATGCACGGTTCAGTCCTTCTCCTAGTTTGTAAGACCCAATGAACTTCATAGACTCATACAAGAGGTTAATGAATAGGTTTAGTGCAATATAACTCTATAAGTATATGATATTTTACTAATGGAGGATCCTCGTGAATTGGTTTGACAAAATATATGAGTAGGAAAATAAATATATTGTAAATCTCAAAAGAAAATTTTTTGCATCCTCTACATAAACCCCATATAAACATATTTTAATGAATGAATACTTATAAATTAAAGAAAAGAATGAATAAATGAATGAAAGAAGAGTTTTCTCTACTAATTTTTATGGTGTTGACTCCATACTTAAGAAGGTGCCAACTCCTAGAGAAACCTAGTGGTTCCAACTCCATTAGAACCTATCTTTCATTTACTGAATATCTGTTAATATATTTCTTTGTTGTTCATAATTGCCCTACTCTTTTCTTTTCTTACTCTTCACTCTCTTTCTTAAATATTAAACAACATAGTCCAAACCTGTTCCACTTATTAATTTAAACAACATAGATCACAAGGTATCTTGTTGTGTAGAAATGCCATCATCCCCTATCCATGATCACAATGTTTCATCAGCAAATGTTCCCTCAACCTCAATATGACCCTCACCCTCTCATTCTGTATCTGGTCCTTCCCCTATAATCATGGTTGACATTGCTGATGACTCATCTCCAAATGAGACAAGTCAAACAGCAAATAATGCAAGCAATCCCATTGACACTCCTTCTACCACAGATGGTACTCAGATTGAATCTCAGAACCCTATTGAAGAAGATGGTCCAATACCAAAATCAAAAAGACAAACAACTTCAGATGTATGGAAGGAGTTCAAAAGACAAAAAACTTCAAATGAGAAAACGGTGAATAAAGTCCAATACAGTCCAGGTTGAATAGGTTGAACAGAAGGCTTCAATGCCTGCGATTTGGAGTTTGTTTTGGGGTTATTGGGTTCTAAAATACATTTTATGTTAATTCAGACCAAGGTTGAATCCGGGTTGATTCTTAGGCTGTATAGGGTTATTGGGTTGGATTTTCAACATTAGGAATAGCTTTTCAATGTTAGGAATAGTGCATGTCACATGCTGTTCTTACTCGTAATAATGCTACTAGCAGCTTCACTATATCCACAGCTGGGCAGAATCCTCCTGGTGTTAATCTTGCAACATAATTGAACCCAAGAATTGGTACTGGTATACAAGACTCTTTTCTGGTATAACAATTAAAGTGTATGTTTTGAAAATTTAATGAACAATTAAGGGCATTTTTGTCCTTTAATTGAAAACAATTAATCTTAATGGATAAATGCTTAAATAAGGAATACTTAAGTAGTTTTAGAAAGTAGAAACCACTGGGATTGGACCAGTCCAATCCAGTCCAAGTTGAACAGGTTGGACAGTCGGTCCAATAAGACATTGAATTGGACCAGTCCAATCCCGTCCAAGTTGAACAGGTTGGACAGTCAGTCCAATAAGACACTGAATTGGAGCAGTCCAATCCAGTCCAGGTTGAACAGGTTGGACAGTCAGTCCAATAAGACATTGAATTGGACCAGTCCAATCCAGTCCAGGTTGAACAGGTTAGACAGTCCAATAAGACATTGAACAGGATGCCCATGATTTTTGCTTTAGTTCCAAAATTAATTAAAGCAGATAAATACCAAAGCTGAGAATTGGATCAGCAATTTAGAATGAATTGGTCATTTGTAGATTTGAATTGTATGGTTTAGCCTATGTTTTCCTTTTATTGTTTTAGATATATTTAGGTTATGATGTCTTGAAAAGGATTGCTTATGTTAGATTAGAATTCTCTGACCAAGACATTGTATTAGGGTCCAATCTAACTCAATTTGCCCTAGGAGTGCAATGCTGCAACTTGGGTGGTCTTGAGTTGGGGTTTTGTTAAAATTTGAATGGACGCAACTCGAGGCCCAAACTAGGCAACCTAAGTTGCACCCCTAATTTCCCCTTCTGTGTTTTTTATAATTTTCTTTTAGTTAATTTTAAATAGGTTGTAAATAGGTGATAAATGTTTCTTTTAAATTCTCTTTTATATCTTCTCTATGCAACCAAATGCAAAAGATTTTTTGGTTTCATGTCCTTTTTTTTCACTATTTCATGTTTTGTGTTATTTATGTGGAGTCCACATGGTTGATTTGTGTTTTGTTGGTGTTGGTCTTGCATGTTTCATGAGGAATTAGAATGAAATTTGTAAACAAACAGGTTCAAAATTTATTTAAATTCTTGCTAGAAAAAGGATTCATTTTTTTTAGAAAGAAGCATTTGATTTGTAGCTATAGTTTCTCATTCTGTCATTTTCTACCTGTTCTTGTCCGTTCTAGAATTTTATTGTAGGCAAGAATGAGCAAGAATAAGAGTTGAACTAAACATGACCTATGTTGTAGCAAAGCAAACTCCATTGGCAAATCCCACTCCCTTTGCAGTCTTGCCAACAAAACCAAGACTCTCTCCTTCAAGCCTCTCTGTTTTGGATTCCCTCTCATTCCCTTGTGGCCTTGCCACAGAACCAAGACGATCCTCCTTCCAGTCTCTGTTTTTGTATCCTCTCCCGTGCTATCCTGAAACCCCAAAAAGCTTCTTTCACAAACTCTAACCCGTCCTCCCCCTTTCCAATGATGGCGCCACCTGCATTTGCATAATCTACAGAGGCATAAGATTGCCGACGGTGAGTTTTTCTACAAATCCCACCTTTCCCTATTGTCTTTTATGTATCTCTCTTGATCTCTTTGCATGAAGAAGGAAAGACGAGGTTGGCATTTTTGATTCTCAGTCCTTCATATATAGTATTATTTCTGACTTCTAGTTAGAAATAAGAGAATTTCTTCTCATTTAGTCAGTTCAAAAACATAAAGAGAAAGGTTGGTTGGTTGAGTTTATCTCCTTTTATGGTTACAATTTTTTTTTTTTCGTTTCTCCTTGGAGTCGGTGGAAGTCATACATTCTTATAGTGCTTATTTTTCTAGATGATTATAGTGGTCCTTCTTGAGATGGTATGTCTAATCAGAAGCATTGTAGTATTGAAAGCAAGCTATAATATGCGTGGAGGCCTAGGGGTGTTATGAAACTAAGCTTTGTCCTGACCCATTTTTATGGTGTTGGCTACATGAATCGTATTCGCCAAAGACCAAAATGTGAGTTGGAATTTTCTAATATTGATATTAAGCAAACCCAACTGCATGTTTAATATTCAAACAGAAAATAAGTCCAGCAAAAAAAATGCAAAGATGTCACAAGTGCATGCAGGTAGCACTTGGAATCTGTTTAGTATTCCTACCATTGTACACCCCACTTTCCAGAGATAATTATGATAGACTAGCAAGTAGTAGAAATGTTACCTTGCTAATGTGACACAGGTGCCAAGTATTAGGGACCAGGAGTTCATTGATGTGCAGCACTATGACAAATCAACCTCTAGAAATCATGGCATAGGAAATTGGCAATAAATATGTTGTGTAGCTTACTGGAAAATGTTTCCAAGGCACCTACCAATTCCGAGGACCCATTTCCTAGCCTTTAGAATGGGCCTGGTTGCTTGGCATTTGCTTAATCATGGTTCCCAGGGGGGCACTTCTATCAACATCAATCTGGTCATTCCAAGTATGGGAATGGAAGTAGGGGCAACTAAATGCTAAGTGTTGCTTGCCACTGTAGCTTGAGATTGTGTTTTCTGTTGAATGAATGTGCACTCATTTCTGGTATTGATAATGGCTTGGCAAATGTAGGTGCCACTATGTGCATGATATGTGGGAAAGCTTTCTATTGATCTGATGCTGGAGGAGTGTGCAATATGTCCCTCTTCTTGCAAAAAAATTTCTTTGTTAAGTGATATGTGATCTGTGGAATTTGGAACTCTAGCATTTGCAAATTTTGAAAACATTAAGATGAGCACAAGTCATTGAACTTGTATAAAGAAAAGCTTTATGGGTGGTGATGACTGATGATCGTATTTGGTGAGTTGGGGACTTGGAAGATAGTTGCATATAGTAGAATAAAAGAAAAACCTATGGCTCTTGAAGAATGGAAAGTTCTCTAGATGAACTTTTGCTCAGTGTGCTCTTTCAGAAATCCAGTTGCAGCTGGGATTAAGTTACAAAGATGTATGGGATGTTCTTTCAATGGAAGCTATGGATGTTCATTGCATTGTATGAAGCATATTCGGTTCGACTTTTCCTGAATCTTTAGCTGAACCACATGGGGATGAAGTAGAACATAGTATGATCTTATTTGAATAATAAACTGGAGGAAATAATAGCATTCAAGAAACTGCTTTTGCTCCTAATTTATGGAGTTGTTACACAAAATGAATTGGTAGTTAGTATAAAGTAAGAGGAGTTTGTTAGTTGCAACTCATACTATTAGTTTAGTGTCTTATCTCCTTTTGTATTAATAAGTTCAATAGATTTCCCATTTAGATGCTAGTATTTGGACCGTGAAGGCACAATTGATATTTGCTAGTCATTGTTGTTCAATCTGCCTTTTATTGAAAGCTGCTGTTTATATGTGACTGGGTTCTGATATCATGGTTCATGCCCTCCATTGAAGGAGGGTTTCTGTAATGCCTTTACCTTCCAGTAGTATATTAATAAAACTGGTTCAATATTTTAAGCTTAAAAATATATGTTGCTTAGTGGGGTAGAGGGGGCAATTTCAGCGTCTCCTAACTTTAGGAGATCTGGAACTGAAATATTAATAATTTGGTTTCAAGATTTTATTTTATATTTTCAACTTTTTGAGGAAAAGGTTAGTGTGTTCAGTAGGATAGAAACTATGGCAAAACATGAGTGCATAAGAAGATTTACATGAATACAGAAATAGGACAGTCAGTGACAGTGTTCCCTTTACAAAGGCTAATTTGGTAGAGATCTTATCTGTTTCTTTGCTTCTTGGGGGTATGCTCCCCCCCCATCTTGTTTAGCATCTCCTGTTCTATCAAAAAAAAGGTAGAGATCTGAGATCTGTAACTTTAACAAAAAAACCAGCCTGATCTGGATAGATCATCTGCTATTACATCCTTGCACATGGAATCCATCTGAAATGTGCTTTTGTATCGGTCATGATCTCCTTGATTTCATTTAGGTGATCAACCCACTGCCATAGACTGCTCCCCATCATTAGGACTCGTTCTATTGCATTGACTGGATTTTCATCAATAACAAGAATCATATATGTGACTGTTTAGCAATACGAGCTCCCATGTCCCCAGCCTCCTGTAGAATCAGCATACCTAGTGCAGTGGTTAAAGGCCCAGAAGATGTTTCCATCTGATTTGAAGAAAACTCCCTGTATGTTGGTTAAATTGCATCTTAAACTGCAATAAAATTGTAGATTACGTTTCTAATCTGGAAGGGAGGACATGACAGCCCTTTGGGTAGGTTGACCGACGGATTGGAGGATTTCTGGCCAAGTCCTCCTTATCATAGGATGCCCCTTTGGATTCATTTATTGTTACATCTCCAAGAGTTAAGAAGAGAGAGGGAGGGAGGGAGGGAGTGGCTCCTAACAATTTGAAAGGTGCTTCTTTATCTTATGGTTATGTGTGTGCATTATGGCTCTTGAATGTTTTCAATCACTCACTTTATCATATTTTCTGCTGGCAGGCAGTGGACTTCACTGGCGTAACCTTACTGTTTTGGGTGTTAGAGTGGGAAAATGTTTAAGTGTGTCTGCAGCAATGTGTCTACTAAAGGGACTTTTCTGTCCGACGGAAAGAAATTTAGTCCACTTATATATGCTTTGATGCGAGGATTCCACAATGGCCAGGTACGTTATGTCTGGTGCCATGAATTATTAGTCTCCTTGCAACAGATGTTGCCATGCAATTAATAATGATGAACAATCTTTTATCTACATTTATATTTCATAGGAGATATAGAGCATGTAAAAATTCTCCAGCATTTTCCCTGTAAAGCATTTGTTTTGATGTGGAAGGGACATATAACAAACTTTTCGCCGTAAAAGGGGTGGATTTATAATTGAGATATTTCTAATGTGGTAGCAAATCAGCACCTTAGTCCTAGCAAGGTTGATTTTGGACTTACAAAATAGCCTTTAAACAAGCCACTCATTAAATATTTATTTGCATCAGTCCATGGTTCAACCTAAGGCCAAGATTTACATAAGCTCTTTCATACTCAAGTACAAGTCGAAACACATACCCATTTATTAACAACATTCGAACCATGGACAAACAAGTGAGTACACCTTGGTATTGGTGTCTTTCTATGAACAACATGGAGAAGATAAATCTCTTGGAATTTAAGGAAGACTTGAAAAATGACAGTTTTAGTCTTGGGAGACTAGAGCGTGAAGTTGGATTTCTTCAAAGTACTTAATCACTAACAAATGTATAGGAAGTTAAATGGGAGATTAGAGAAAGTAAAGATTTGGAGGAATGCATTTCCCTTTTGGAGAGGTTAGAGAAAGTAAAGATCTCAGATCGATCAAGGGATTAATTATTGGTGGAAAGAATGCTCAAATGGGAGGTTTACCGTTAAATCTTGTTATATGGCTCATCAGAAATATTTCAGATTCAGATCAGGTAGCTGCTGTATGGTGAAACCCGGTTACCCCAAGGATTGAAGCGTTTGCCTGTCTGGTTGCAATGGATGGTATTCTGACTGTGGACCATCTGAAATTCCGGGGCTTTGGCTTGGCTAATATGTGTGTCCCCTGCAAAGAACAGGAGGAATCAGTCAGTTGCCTTTTTCCTCTTGCAAAATTGCCGAGTTCTTGTGGAGGATATTTACTTCTTTGTTTGGAGTCTCAAACTTCCAGCCAGGAACTGTCGCAGGCATTTTCTCTTCATGGCCAAAACTAAGAGGAAGTAAAAAAGCAAAAATGATTTGGAGCTGTTACCGTTTGCAATTTGTTGGAACATTTGGATAGAGAAACAGAAGAATTTTCGAAGAAAAATACTGGAATTTGGACAAGATTGTGGCAGCTGTCAGCAACTCGGTAGCAGATTGGGTTCTTGCAACTCCAGAATTTAATCATATCTTTAGGGAGGATTTGGGGGATAATTTGGGAAATATTTTGGATTTCCAACTTTGTAATCTGTGATACTTTTATGTATTTCTGTATCTCTGCTCCCTAGCAGATCTTTTGTTTTTCTTCTTGGTACCCTATGAAGTGCAGGTAATGCCTCATCACCTGCTAGGTTGTAATGCTTTTTATTTTTAATGAATTTTATCTTTTATCTTCAAAAAAAAGTTAAGGTTGCAGTTCTCTATGCTGACTAGCTAGTAATAACAGTTTGGCTTAATTTTTTGGATTGGTAATTTGAAACTTTATTAATTAAAATGAAAGAGGATATGAAGAAGGTAGAGAAATTGATGAGAGATTTTCTTTGGGAGCCGAAAGATTGGAAAAAAGGATCGTTTGGTGAGAATTGAGATGGGAGAAGGTGATCAAAAGAAAAGAAGAGGGCAGGCTGGATCTAGGAAACACAAGTAAGAAAAACCTCACTCTTTTAGGTAAGTGGTTGTTGTGTTTCCCCTTGAAAAATGAAAGGTTGTGGCACAAAGTAGTTTCAAGTATTTGTGGACTTTCAAGGAATGGATGAGATGCTAGTATTATGCAAAGAGCTCATCAAGTTGCCCCATGGAAAGTAGTGCATGGTATACTACCTCAATTTCTTGAGCATATTAAGTATGATTTGGCTTCTGGTAATTGGATTAGATCTGGGAAAATGTGTGGGTCAGGGAGATCCCCTTGAAAGATGTGTTTCCTTGTATGCTCTTTCAAGCCTTAAAGAAAAATCTGTGGCTAAATTCTTTGGGTCTCTTTCGTCTTCTAGGTTGGGATAGAATTTTGGGGCTWGTGAGAAATCTTAGAGAGCTTGAAATACCATTATGGTACGTTTGGTTGCCGAGAGAGGATGAGGCTAGAAAGGATGGGATGAGAAAGACTGGGATGGGAAGAGAAAATATTTTTTTCTTAGGTTTGCATCCTGTGTTTGTTTCCCAAGAAATGATATGCTAAATAACCATTTTCTTGTGTTTGTATACTGAGAAAATTGGTCAGTTTTGCAATGTGATGTTTTCAATTGCTTGACATTGTTCACACCATCACATGATGGTATTCATCCCAATTAAGTGTCGAATACACCCTGCTATTCAAAAAAAAAAAAGGAAAAAATGAACACAAATCAGTGACCATATGAACACTGTTACCTTTGCATGAGTGAGCAAAAATGATACATACCTCAAACCCAAAAATCACAAAAACGGTACACATCTCAACTCAAAGCGTACCATCTTGAAAAAAATGACCACAAAACCAATAAAAATACAGAGCTTACTGTAGATCTATAACAGTTCATCATTTTGAATCTGAAAATAGTTAGGATATCTTACCTTTGTGCGAGTGAGCAAGGAGATTTGGACTCTACGAGTTAAAACACACACACACAAAAAAAAAGTTAGATCTACAAGATAGAAGTGTAGATCTGTAGAAAAAATCAAGGTTACATGCTGAAAAGAATGGATTCTGGCTGGAGAGCCGCCATCTCTTCCCGTTGTCATTAGGAGCTCGACAACTACGAAAAAGTATAAAAAATACTCGTTGATTGCTGGCGGTCATGGTCGTGGTCGTACCTTGTCTGGAGATCAACAATAATGGCGTTGACGAGAAGGCCGTTGTTGATGCAGGTTCGCGGTAAGGGTTGTCTAGAAAGAGAGCAGGAGGAAGAGCCCGATCTTTTTTCTCAAAAGTTTCCTTTTGCATCAGGGTCGCACCAAATCAATGCGACCCTGTTTCATCCATTTTGGGAACCCGCGTTCCCCACATTTCCCTTCCCATCCCTTTGAACAAATGCTGGAAAACCAGAATCTTATGGGAATATTCCCATTTTCCCTTCCCCATCGCAGCAACCAAACATTCCATTAGTGTCCTGCTTGTTAAATATTTTGGATAGCTTAGTGCTTGATGTTTTTGTGGGTGTTAGTTCGGTGTGGTTTCTCAATCCTTTAGGGTCATTTACTTGTAAATCCTTCTTTTTTTCCGTTGTGGCGACTTGCTCTTCCTCTTCCTTTCTTGTGAAAGAAGTTTGGAGTGTCCCTTTCCTCCCAAAAGTAAGTGCTTTTTGTTGGGAAACTTATAATGGGTGCATTAGCACATGTGATTTATTGCAAAAGAATAGACCAAATTGGCTCGTCTCCCAATTGGTGCATTTTGTGTAAGTTGAATGGTGGGACTGCTTACCACCTCTTAATCTCCTGTCCCTTTGCTTGCTCTATTTGGGAATGGTTTTGCTCCCTTTTTGATTGTAGGTGAATCCCTCCTGTTAGTTTGGAATGTCTCTTTAGCCCTTCGTTTATGAGGGATAGAGGTAGAATCTTGTAGAAATGTGCAAGTAGGGGTGGCAACCACCCAATGCACCCATTTATTTAGCGGGTTGGAAATGGGTTGATCATCCATTGGATCATTTTAAATGGGTTGGGTCAGGTTGGGTTGTGGATATCCATTGGGTTAACCACTAATGATATAAGTATGAATTCTTTAGCCATTTTCCTTAATTTTCTTCATTTGAGTGAAATAGTGTATAATCAATGCATTAATTTTCTACTAATTATTGACTAAAATTAGTTTTGGCTCGAGTTAACACAACTCACCCAAATAGACATAAATTCAACTTCAGTCAAATGGCCCAATCAATTCGTTCAATGGCCTAATTTGGTTCGCTTTGATTTTGGCACGAATGTCCCAATTGTACCCAACCTGAATCAACCCAAACAACCCAGCAATCTAGATCAACCCAATTTGGGTTGGCCAAATTCAACTCTAGATCAGATCGTTCTGGGCAATTCGACCAGACCTGATTTGGAATGGTTTGGGCCAGACCAACTTGATCTGAGTCTGGATGGCGTGATCGACCCATCTTGATTTGGTTTGGGCTAGGCGGCCTAGTCCCAAATATGAACCCATGCTCGCCTGATTTGGATTGAACTGACCCAAATTGGCACGATTTTATCTGACCAGTCCAACTCAAATTCAAACAGGTTGGACCCAACACGGCCCTCTCCAGGCTGGTCCGTCCGAACTCATCCCAATTCGGGCCGGTTTGGTCCGGACCAACTCGACTTGGGTCTTGATGGCATGATCTGTTCATCTTGACCTGTTTTGGACCGTTCTGAATCCAAATGGTTCGACCACTCGTGATGTGATTAGCCTGATGATGAACCCAGTTAGATGGTTCAAGTTGGTCTAATCGATTTAAACCTAAGTGGTTCGGCCAAAACTGAAACCCGAACATAGTCAAATGGCTCCAAGTGATTAATTGCTTTTTATTCCCCTTGTAAAAATAATATGCCTGTAATGTGATTTGAGCCTTCACTACTTGTAAACAACAACCACTATTGCCACCAAGCCATGCCCAACTTATTCGTTAAAAAGGAGTTGGTTTTTACTTTTAAGTACATAAACTAAGTTGCTACAAGATTTATGGGTTGGGTGGGTTGGATTGGGTCAAGGTGGATTTGGGTTGAAACCAACCCATTTAATTTTATTTAACTGGGTCATTAATGGGTTGGGTTGAAGCTCAACCCAAACCAAACCTAACCCAACCCACCCAATTGCCACCGCTATGTGCAAGGGCAGTAGTGGTGTTGACAATTTGGGAGGAAAGGAACTTGAGAATCTTTGAGGCTAAGCCGCTAAAGAAAGGAATAAGGAGACAATTATTGAGACTGTTATAGTAAGAGTAGCACATTGGGTGAAGACTTTGAAGCTGTTTTTCAGATTTTTCACTTGAAGACTTCTTC